GCATCATACACATGGAACGCGTGGGAAGGGCTTTTGATACTTTTGGTCCGCTAATTGACACCCTACCAATTTGGTATTTAGTATGGGTCCTTGAAATTAATCATGTACTTAGACACGTATTTAACCCTACTTGAGAAGGAAACCATTACACTGCACTTAAAAAAACCGGACGCTTGTCACATGACTGGTCATAGTGGTTTAAATAAAACACCACTTACAAATCCGTCTTAATCACGAGACTCAACAATAAGGTGTGGTGTTTTAAAGATCTCATTTCTAATTAAAAATGGAATTTCGGGGAATATTTCAGGAATATTAGTGACGCCATGGTAGATCATTGTGAGAATGCTGACGATGCGGTGTGGTGCGGTGCGATAAATCAATGGGCTAGGATTTCCAAGACAATTTAAAAGTGTTTTATTTTATGTCGTGTTATTTAACGTACTCGTTTATAGCACAATTTGTTTTTATTCAAATTACAGATAGCCCTTCGTACACCCTACATGGTTGAGTCTATTATCCACACAGAGCCCGATTCAATGTAAAACACAGAACGATATCTGGTCGGTTATCGCATTTCACACTCTACTGTCTGCATTTTCGCTGTTAATGGTTTCCTCGCACCTCACGCATATAGCACATGTTAATTATATAAATAATATAAAAATTATTATATTATAAATAATACGAACTAAAAAAGCTGTAAATTTTAAAAAAAATGTAGCTGTCATCATGGATGAAAAAGCAAAAAATAAACAAATAAAAAATAAAAACGATTAATTCGGTTAGTGTGAATCTGATGTACAAAGGAGAGCACGTCTATCTCGAATGAAAACACAACACGTCATGCAATACAATACAAAACACAGTGATGATATCAGTCGCGCACACTAGCAGTCACTTAATTACAGATACAAGTACTGATTTCTTTTAAATGAACCTCTCCAGATAATTGTGATCTCCAATCAGATCTATTTGATGTGTTAACATTACAATGACAACATTCAATAACAAGATTCACTCCCAAGCTTTTAAATCCCACCCTTTAAATTTAAAAGCAGTACGCTGTTTTTTTGTCATGATGGTCTATACATTTCAAGAAAATTGTTGGAAATTATTGGTATTTTGTAAATAGAGTGATTATTGATATAAAATGTAGAAAATTAAGGGCAGTAGACCAAATGTTTAAGATTAACCGATATCTCTGCAATTTGGGGATTACGTTGATAATAAATGGGACTCTATGGGAAAGACATAAATCATGGCCCGTTCAATTAGAGATAATGGAACAATATGTTGCAAACTAAATTTAAACAAATTAAAAAAGAGGGGTAAGGACCTATTTGTAAAGAAACTGTAGTTTCAGTAATTTTCTATGCTAATACATGGGCAACAGAACATGTTCCCACGCGAAAACTCCTGCGCACCCACTTACGTTCGTGAAACTTAGTGTAAGTTTGTCGTCCTCCGATCCCATATTAATACTAAGCCAAATTTTCTTTGTGATGCTCATGGCGATTTGTCACGTGACTTACATGTATCGACGATAAAACATG